AATTAGGCAGGCAACTCCTTGAAATTCATGAAAACCTGGTTTTCCTATGAACCGACTTGAAACCACATGAATGACTCCAGTCATGTCTCACTTTTGTGTGTGTGTTTGGAATTTGTACTCTATCAATAAATATACAGTTAATTAAAAATGTCTCAATGTTCTACTTTCCTCAGTGTAACTGCATATGGCTTCAAAATTCTCCTAAGAAATGCTCAAATTTCACAATTTTCCCGGGGGGCTTATAGCGCCCCCCCGGAACGCCCAGATGTTTAGGCTCGCTTCACTCGCCACCCCACCCTCTTGGGTAGTTATAATGAGGGGGCCCTCCACAAAGAGGCTGGCTGCCCATGGGCCTCCACAGGTCTAAATCCAGCACTGCCTCGAGAGGGTACTCGCTCCCCCCAAAAGACTCCCAGAATCACTCGTAAGGCAGCCAGCCAGCCGATGCTGACGAACCTAAGCCTCGGCTCCCCGCCAAGAATAGTCAGTCGCCGGCTCGGAGAGTTCCGGCATCGCCGCCGGCCACCGCCAACGGCATCAAAAGTCCCGTGCGAACCGCCGACAAAAATTCCACTGCTTCGAGACTGCCCGGACTGGATAATTCCAGCGTGGCTCTTAAAAACCGCCTGAACCAAGAAGTCGCCAAAACTCTCTCCCAAAAACAAGACGGTCAACGGCACGGATCCGGACGATTCCCCGGACTCTGGTAGCTTCGATCAAGATTCGTTAGAAGAAGCAGAAGACATTGAAGTGATGCCTCCGGCGTCTAGAGATGCCTTCCGCCGTTTTACGGGAGCGGTCGGTCAGTCCCCGACGGAGATGGTAGCGACCTGTGCAGAAGCTGAGCGTTTCAGCGGCACCGCCACTCAAGACGAGGCAAAGTTCCAGGAGGCCAGAGAGGCTCTCACCAGTGAATAGAGACGGTTCGTAACGGCCTCGAAGTTATTCGTCAAGTCGGCCACAGAATCCGAAGACACGTTATTGCAGTGTCTGTCGACGTGTATGAAGCTGATGCAGCGCATGGTGGACGTGACCCAGCAGGTGGTGCGGCACACTACCACGCCTCTCCACGTGGTAGTGAAGGTGAGGGACGTGGCCACCACCTACCACTCCACCGTCCGGGCGGCGCTGGATGGACCATCCTTCCATGAACACCCTCATGACTCAGGCCACCAACCTGGCCGGCGTACTCACCTCTCGCTCAGTGTGTTCAGCCCGTGAGATCCCCGACGCTCCGACGTCGCAGAATCGTGTGCATTATCGTATTATTAAGATCGCTCTCCCAGTAAAGAGTTGCAAAAATCGCCTTTGACAGTGCAATGAATGGAAACTTACAAAAGAGTACTTAATGTATTTACACGTTTGTAGATATAGAAATAAACCCGATACGCATAATGTCAATCACCGTAGCCCGACCAGCTTCTGTAAATAACGATAGAAATCTCAGGCATTATGAACAGTCAGTCCGGAGGAGAGTGAGAGCACCGGCTCCAGAGTCGAGTGTCCGGGACGAAGCTGGGACAGTCTGAGGGTGACGTAACAGAGCTGTATATTTCAGTACATTGATATAATTGTGTATAACAATGCCTAAGTTACCCCCAGTCTCGCATTTGACTATAAATTTCCAAGTGTGTGTGTTTCTCAAATGTACTTAATATAGCAGCTTTTTCAGTTACTTTTTTTTTATTATTCCAAGTTTATTGGCACTACTTGCAATTGTTCTCCAGATTTTTTATTTGTTGTACAATATAATTGCAACTTATGGTTTTCTTCCACTTTCCATTAATTTGTTCTTTGTCTTGTACAGTTTGAGGCCCTCTACCCCTCTCGGTGTATATAACTTCTATACAGCAACAAAACTTGTCACATGTCAGCCCCAGTTAGGAGTTGTAATTCAGTTTATCTGCTGTATTTTCTGCTAAATAGTGTCATAGTATATCCCGTCTGTATCCCCTTGTGCATGTAGATAACTAAGGGTACCGGGGTATACACTGTAGGGAGATATATCTACTGTAGCTGTGAGGACTATTAGTGAAGGGTTAAACAATCAACGGTTTCTTGTATAGGAATGTTGTAATATAATGTGAATGACAGTACAGTAATGGAGGTTGGGAGTACGTTACTGTAGTGGTAGTACTGTAATAAGTACAGTAGTAATTATGGTGACGAGTACTAGCAGTGGTGGAGGGTGTAGTAGTACAGCTATACTTAAGGTAACAAGTTATGTAAATCTACCACCCAAGACGAGTGAGCTCAGACGTGGTGGCCAATGGAGTTCCTAAACATATGAAGTAGGAGTGGATTGTTCCAGAAACGCTGCTGCCTACAGATTCAGGGTAGGAGCTACCAGTACAAGGGCCTCGAGGTTGTGAAGGAGAAGCTACTTCGAGTGGTTGGGGGAAATGTAGGCGTTAGTATTGTGCTGGAGACATTCCTCAGTAGCCAGACCAGGAGAACTACTGACCTCACCCAGAACATGTACCGTGTTGAGCTAGGTTATACAAGCATTATATAAACTCAATTTTCCTCGTTTATCCTCCCATTTCGGGTCATTGTGGTAGCAGGAATCTGGCCTCAAATACAGAATTGTTCTTCCCTCGGGTATTCACCAAGTGGGTCTTCCACCATAATTACTGGCCACTGAACTACCACCTTTCTATTTATACCGATTATGAATTGTCAAGGGAAAAATGGAATTAAAATGGACGATAAAGCACAAGGGGTTCAAAGACAAGAATTGATGGAGCATTTACATTAACAAGTATAGAGTCGGTTGTATCATGACCACACAGCATCTTATATGTATTCAACAGTAAATTCGGCCACCTAAACTGCCAGGTTTCAAGGAGGTATGGGACCAGGTGGACTCCTGTGCAGGTTTGAGAAAGTGGCTGTGGACACCAGGTGCAGTAAGGATACACGCCTACTATCCTCACTGGTAAGGTATATTAATTTCTATATTGCTTCCCTGGCAGATAATCAATGATCAGTTAAAAAAACCTTTGCTCTAGGCTCGAGATTCCATTCGTACATTCATTCAGGTGGGAAGCTTCAGATGGATGAAAGTTTAGAGTTCACACATTGCTCGATTGAAGTTACCAAGTAAATGTATTGTGCTAGATGGTCTGGTGGCGTCTTGAAGCCGAATTAAGGCTCATCTAGCAAGAACAAGAGTAGTTTCCGATCTTATGTGAACCTAAATTTTTTAAGCTGCTAAATTGTATACAAGTTAGAGAAATGTCGAGTCTAGTCTTAAATTGGTCTAAAACTCCCCAGAACACCGTTATTAAAGGAACTAAAAAACGGAATTTTAAAATTTAAAATCAAGTTTATTGTAGAAATATGTCGATCATATCTACAGTTAAATAAATACAGCAGTTCCCGCTCCTATAATTCTTCCCCACTCTAGCCGGGTTCGTCCTTAACTGCCCACATAACGAAGGTAGGTAGGTCACTGTGCCGTGGGTGAAGCTGGATTGGTCCACTTTCAACTAGAACGAAACTCAAATTCATCCCCTCACTAAACCATTTCCAGTAGTTATTCCACGTAGTTCTCGGATATCTGGAACAAGCAAGTAATCAGAGATTAAATATAGAAGTATACTTTGTATCAAACTCAATCACACAGAAATAATTCACTAAATACATTAATATATAACCAAGTTATATCAAATATAAATAGTTAATCAACAAAACTCATTTTTAACCAACAAGAAAATTGTACTCAAGAAAAATAACACCAGCATTTGAAGAATGAAGAGATGTATATCCATGGATCCAGTAGTATTACTTCCTTTGAGGTTATGATCAGTACTGACCTCCCGTCACAGCTTTCAGAGTATTTAAGGACGGCAGTGGTGGGGGGGGGGGGTGATACATGTGAATTAGGCGGGAAAATCTTAACTGGGCTAACCACCTCTTAACTGGGCTAACCACCTCATCACAAGTGTTTAAGACATTTCATTTCTCGATAATTGTTCCATAAAACTTCACTATGTCGTGATTATTTATCGCCTTTCTATTGCTAGTTTAATATTTTTCTATTTATAACTTGTTAATTTTTCACTATAGAGATTAATGAATGTGGTTTACCGGGAGTTAAACGGGCGTAACAACCATTAGCGGCTTTACTGTGGTGGTGTCTGTTTCTGGCCGCCCATAGAAAGTCGTAGAATTCGTCATGCTATATTTATCAAAACTTCAAAAACCAGATCACAATTGACTTTGATGTGAAAGATTATGAATAAAAGAAATACAGCGCATATTAAAGTTGGAAGTTTCTCTACATTTGTCACTTCCACATAAATACACATCTGAATCTGTAGATAATGGTCACTCATAATAAGCTCATTTAAAAATGAAAAGTCTTTAAGCTTGGTAATAAAATAAACTAATTCAATAAATGTCTGGCTGGGTTCCTTCTATACATTCCTAAATCTACTATAGAATTCATTGGCCTCTTTAACAGTGTAAGCAACTGCCTATAGCCATTCAAGCAAACCATAAAGTCTCAAAAGCCTTATTGGACAACATCGTGACAAGTATTGCTAACAATAAAAATGGTTCAACGTCACACTGATTCTAAATAATAAAAGTTTCACCCTTTAAGTAAACCAGCAGTACTTAAGTATTCCAGGCAGTATATAAGTACCACCAACATATAGGCTTTACTAACGTACAGTATTGTTAATGAATGTGGTGAGAATACTTCAAAGTTTGTATATATATAGTGCCCCAAGAACGAAGGCACATTTTCTTTCTTGTTAAATTACTGAAATATTTATGTTTTTCAGTTATTTCACATCAAAAATCATTTTATTTTTATGGACTCTATTACATGCTAACATAGTTTTATGTAAATGGTAATAAATGATAATTCAAATAGCTGTTTTATATATTCAACGTAAAAAGGTAATAAGATACGGAATGATATGGAGGTGAGCGCCATCTATGAGTTAACAGCACTACTAAACCTTCATCACGGGGTACAGGGGGAGAGTTTCTCGTCTGGTGGTTCTTGGATCCATCACCAGCTGGAGCCACAAGACAGAGGAAGAAGGTGGAGGACGGACTAAGTGTACCACGATCTGACAGCCCCGAAAATATCGGCCTGAGGCATCGGTAAGACATTTATTCATAATATTATACCAGATATTTAACATTAATAATACTAAGAAGTTATTGGAGAGTTATTATGGTTAGACAGAGTGTATTTAATGGTTAATTTAGTTAATTGTGCTGGGTCGTCTGGTGAAGTACTGTATTGGTATATTGTTGCCACTATATAACATCAAAGTTGAAAGTATGTTTTTCCGGTGGTTTTTGATGTAATGAACGAATTTGACCTTCATTTGTGGCGCAAATCAATAGTTTTGAGATAAGCCCCTGGTGAATTAATATAAGTGGACAACCATGGAGTTGTTGATCAATGTGTTGTTCCGATGGTTTAGGAAAATATTCGTCCATTGGCTGTCCTCGGGTTTTGTATGAGTGTTTTTTTTTAGATTTTTCAGTGTTTTACTCAAATGTGCCCTTTTTTTTGTAAAGTAACGTTTTGCCAAAAAATAACATTTTCAATTTTAACAAACTGCTAATTTTGCCAATAAAATAGAGCTCAAATTTGAATAAAACACCAAAGTACACCAAAACCTAATTCTCATACCAAAGAACCTACCTAACCTAACCTACGAGGAGGAGACGAGTTAGGAGTATAACCTCGGGTAAACGCGGTGGGAACCTGCGGACAGCCAATGGACCAATATTAACCCACTTTTCTTCAATGACGTTTCCCTCACAAATGACTTAAATATAGCAGGGAGATTAGGTAATTTTAAGTAATTTCTGAGCAAAACGTCGTAGAAGAAACGTGTTTTAACATTGTCTAAACTATTGGAAAAACACATTGTTCAACAAAAAGTCAATGGTTGTCCACTTGTAAAAATTTACCACCCTGCCCCTCAGAAACTAGAGCTATAAGAATCGAGGTAAAAAGTGTCCAAAACGCACCAAAACCCATCGGAAAAAGTTTTGGATTTAACCTAACCTAACCAAACCTAAGCTAACGTGGGTGTGTACCGCCATGAACAGACATACATAATGAACTGTTAAATATCTCGCTTGAACGTATTTTGTTCCAGAAATGTTATTGAAGAAAAGTGTCTTAGAATTGTCAAACTTACCGATTGCAATTATAAAATCCCCGAGATTCGTTTAGCGACAAGTGAAATGGCAAAAATAGGTTTTCCCTAGTGTATTATGTTTTTCGAGCAATTCTAACCTTCATTTCTGGTATAAATGAGCCGTTATGGAGATATGACCTCAGTTACCGGGACGAGTTTGATTTTGTTCATTTTTTCCAGATGATGATGTTATTATAGTATTTTAAGAGGCGACATTTGCTAGAAGCTATACTGTACTGTATAATCTGATGTAATATAACCAACCAAAACGACCTACCTAACCTTACCTAACTTCCTAGCCAGGGCGTGGAATTGCCATATTAAACAAAGTACTTATTTTGATATCTGGTACCAATGAAAGCAACTTTATAGAAGCGTCACGGTGTAATTTGTATTTTTGTGGATGCAAGAGTGCGCTCGGACTCGGCGAGTCGGCTATAAACAAACGCGACGCGGCGAATCGGCCAATTTTTTGGAGGAGTGTTTACGGTAAATGTAATTATTCGCCACAGAGCACGGAGAGACATCGTTTTAGTGTCGCGTGCTCGGTTTTTCAGTGTTTTCCCCCCATTTCCTCCAACCTTCATTCCTTGCCCATTACAGGTGATTTAAGATCATATAAATAATTAATGAAAAAGTGTTTTTAATTAAAATAAAAAGTTGTCGCCTCTTTTAAAATATTATAATAAGAACACCTATGGAAAATATGAACCAAATCGGAAAAACTCTTGCTGGTGGTAGTGGTGTTCTGAGAAAAAAAGAAAAAACCTAACCTAACCTTTCCTATCCCTTAACACTTCAAATAATATATTAAGGTTACTTTATTTAACTGATGATAAATTAAAAAGTTATTTCATTAATGTTTTGTCAGTGTGTCATTAGCATTTATAGGTCACTAGGGAAGCTGGAATACGTTTAAGAAACTAATTTGCAATCCCAATAGATTTGAACTGTCCTCTGATTGGTCACAGCAGATTATGTGAAATTCAAACGAAAGGAATTTAGGTATTAAATTGGGCAAAAGTTTTTGCCCGCTAGTGCAATAAGAATCCGTCAATATTGTCGTAACTTCGTCTTATTTTGGTCACGTCCACAAAATGTAACCGCGATGCGTCGCGTAAGAAACCGGGTGTGCCAATTCATTTTTTGTGCGTCCGTCACAAAAGGTTAGATAGGGTTTTCAATTTTGTTTAACCTTTCATGTTGAAAGTGTAATTCAGTTTGGAAGAATGATTGTTGTTGTTGTTTCTAGTGTTAAAGGAAATAAAGGTCACACGTTTCTATTAGAAAAAGCAAAACAAAATAAAAACACGGAAAATTGCAGTTTCGGCGAAGCGCCGAGGTCAGACTCATTCTAAACACATCAAAAACTATTGGAAAAACCTAATTTCAACCTAACCTAACCGATTTGAGAAATCAGTTTCTCTATGTGGTATTAAACAAACAAGTGCCTTTGTTATAAGTGTACGAAGTTGTTATTTGACCAAATAAACCGTCGGCTATTTGACCGGGACCTGCGAGGATCGTACGCATACGATTTTAATGGGATTGTAGTCGGGATGATTGTGGGCATTAAACAAGTCATTACACTGTGGTATTATTTAATTGTAGAAGTTTCTGTGGGCAAAAGTATTGTTTTATTTTAGATCTCGGTCAAATAATCAGTGGTTATTGTGCCGAGTACCGGTCAAATAACCCCTGCCTATAATACAATAGTTTTACAGTGTTGTGTATTATAGTATAGCTATTGGTCACATTTCCAGGAAGCTTCAAGGAACAACAACACATCTCCATGGCAAGCTCAGACTCGACCGTACAGACCCGTCCGGTCTCGTCTACGACTCCGTTAACTGAGAAACGCCGCCGACCCGCGGGAGGTGAGACCGACGTCGTCACTTCACGTCGCGTAGTCGGGTGTACAAGTCGAGTGCATTAGAGTACTTGTATTTAAGTGCACTTGTACAGTAATCCTATAAAAGTGGGCATTTACTTAAATGTTTGTGTCTAAAGTCACGTCCCATTGGTGTCGGTGGTACGCGACACCTCAAAACTGTGGCCCAGATTCACGTTTTCCATCCCATACCCAATTTTGAATGTGTGTTTATTTTGTTTTTCTTTAAAGTACAGTATAGTATAATATATTAATAACTTTTAGCTTCGTTTTTAAAACCTAATTTCATTGTTATTAATTATGATACTCTACAAATACTGTGCTACTTTTTCTACTTGTATGATTCAGTTGAGCTAATTAAACTTTTATTTGCATAATGTTGAAGAAGACTACAGTACATAGTTCAAATTTTTACATATCAACAGTGCAGTACTTTATCTTAAGTAATATTTTCAGGCACTTTCCCCATCAATGCCTAAAGTGGACCTGAACCTTTGGACCTGATGTGAACTAGAATGAAGCTGGCTGGACCTCAAGTACTCTGTGGTATTGTATTTAATATTGTTGTAGTACTTTGAATGTTAGGAAAGTTCTACAGGCATTCCCCAGTTTATAAGAGTATTATGCATTAAAAACCTATATTAAATCGAATCAATATTCCTATAGACGCGCATTACAAAAGCCCAGATACTTTTCTACAATGAAAAAAAGTTCCCCCCAAATTATGTACGGTCCCCCAAAAAGTATCGATAGATTTTCTTGCGGTAAAATTTGAAACTCTAGATGAATACATTGATGTGATCTCCATTGCGTCAGCATAAGTTGTTACGCCCGCTCACTGTATCGGCAACAGCTATGGACGGCGGGTAGCGAGGGAGTCATCCTCGTGTGACATACAACTGTATATGCTTTACTATAACAAGAAATTCATTAAGCTATATTAATGTATGTATCGTGCTGGGTAGAAACAAGGCCTCAACCGAGGATTACAATAATATCAAAATATACGTTAAATGGAAGAGTCTTGGAACGTCGCAATCGAGACGGACCTCGAGGCGGACATTTCACCACCGTGTCGTAGTAACGGTTTCATTCGTACCGAGTTGCAGAATATACAGTAGTCGTCGACGACACGTCTGATTTATGAGAGGTGACCAAGGAAATGTTACTTGATATTAGAGTGAACAGCTACAGCAATATACAATATATCGGTCTAATTGGGCTCTGCCAAATATTATTGATACGTAAATGGTATCGGTTTAATGTCACAATAAGAATTTAAATCGGCGCGTCGCTGGTCGTTTTGTGGCTGGCGGCTGAGCCATCGCGATACAGCGGGTTCGCTCTCCCCATTGCGTCTTTCCGATAATTCCTCGGTTCGTTTGACGTAAGATCCCATTAATGACCGGCACGGCATCGGCGTCCATTTACGACACGCAATCTCAATTCGCGTAACGTGCGATCGGAAGCCTCGGAGGATTTGCATCTTTCAAAAACATATGTATACTCATTCGTGCTCAGAGGTGTAGACGTAGAGTTAGCAACAGTTCTGAAACGGGTCGTGTAACATTGGTCGAATAGCCTCGAATCACGTCGACCCCGTGGCTAAAGATATTATTTTGGGGTGAGCGTACACGTCGATTATAAGCCAATACAGGAGCTTCTCGACAGACGGACGAGTCGAGTTCCCGAGGCTCGTTCGCGAGTCCGACTTAACTCTTGTAGATAATGATATACAGTAGAGCTATACCGTATATACCCAGCACATTACGGTACAGTCGGTCCCCGACTTATGACGGGGTTAGGGACCGGGTCGCGAGTCGAAAATAATACCGTACATAGAAAATCTAAAACGAGTGTCTCTCTCTCTTCTCGGCACCACAAGAACTCTCACTCTTCCGCTTGCCAGCTATTTTAAAGGGAATTACAAACAAAAATTTTGTCGGTACACAGCGCAATCACTAACGTCTGGACTCGAAAATAGGTAATTTGACAAAATTTTGGTACGACCGAGGCGGTCGTAGGTCGAGTAGGTCGTAAGTCGAGGAGTAGCTGTATTTAACTAATGATAACAGAAAAAGTTATTTCTTTAATGTTTTGTTTTTGTGTTTTAATGTTTTGTCAGTGGGTCAGTTCTCGTCTTCAACATTTAGGTCACGAGGGAAGCTTAAACATATCCAGAAAAAAAAGTTTTTGCTCCTGCGTAAATATCACAATAGATTTGCACTGTCCTCTGTTTGGTCACAGCAGATTATGTGAAATTCGAGCGAGAGAAATTTAAATAATAAATCCCGCAAAATTGTGCGTTTCTCCCGGAAGCACGATAAGAATCCGTCAACATCGTCGCAGTTTCGTTCTACGTCGGTCACGTCCACGAAGTGTAAACGCTATTGGACTGTACGAAACCGGGTATGCCGATTAAATTTTTGCTCGTCCATCGCAAGAAGTTAGGTAGTTTAGTTTAGGTTAGGTAGGGTTTTCAATGTTTTTTTTTAACCCTTCATGTTGAAAGTAACTTTTTTTGGAAGATTCATTGTTTTTGTTACTGTAAGGAAATTAAGATCATATAAATTTATGAGAAAAAATCCAAATAAATACTGGTAAAATTATCGTTTTGGCCGTGCATCTATTTTCCAAAAGTCATAATCGTTCAAAATATCCATAAAAACCGTTGGAAAAAGATAATTTCAACTTTACGTAACCTATTTGAGTAATCGGTTTCTCCATGTGGTGTTAAACTGATAAGTAATGTTTATTTTTAATACAAAGTTGTTATTTGACCCGGATTCTGGGCCAAATAACCGTCGGCTATTTGACCGGGACCTGTGGGGATCGTATGGGATCTTAATGGGAATGTAGTCGGGATGGTTGGGGGCATTAAACAAGTCATTACATTATGGTATTATTTAATTGTATAATTTCTGTTGACAAAAGGATTTAGTTTAATTTTAGATCTCTGTCAAATAACCGGCGGTTATTGTGCCGAGTACCGGTCAAATAATCCCTGCCTATAATATAATAGTTTTACAGTGTTGTGTATTATATAGCTATTGGTCACATTTCCAGGAAGCTTCAAGGACCAACAACACATCTCGGTATGACAAGTTGAGACTCGACCGTACAGACCCGTCCGGTCTCGCATACGACGCCGTTAACGGCAAACGGAGAAACGACGCCGCTGACCCGCGGGAGGTAAGACCGACGTCGTTACTTAGCGTCGTGTCGTCGGGCGTACGAGCCGAGCGTATTAGAGGACTTGTATTTAAGTGCACTTGTACAGTAATCCTATAAAAGTGGACATTTATGTAAATGTTTGTGTCTAAAGTCACTTCCCATTGGTGTCGGTGGTACGGGACCTATCAAAACTGTGGCCCAGATTCACGTTTTCCATCCCATACCAAATTTTGAATGTGTGTTTATTTAGTTTTTCTTTAAAGTACAATACTGTATAATATATTAATAACTTTAAGCTTCGTTTTGAAAACATAATGCCATTGTTTTTTAATTATGATTCTTTACAAATGCTGTACTACTTTTTATACCTTTTTCTGCTTGTATGTTTCAATTCAGTTAATGAAACTTTTATTTGCATAGTTTTGAAGAAGACTACAGTACTTAGTACATAGTTTAAATGTTTGCATATCAACAGTGCAGTACTTTATCTTAAGTAATATTTTCAGGTACTTTCTCCATCACTGCCAAAAGTGGACCTGAAATTTTGGACCTGATGTGAACTAGAATGAAGTTGGCTGGATATAAAGTTAACTGGACCTGCAGCGAAGTGGACCTGAAGCTAACTGGACCTCAAGTAGTCTGTGGTATTGTATTTAATATTGTTGTGGTACTTTGAATGTTAGGAAAGTTGTACAGGCATTCCCCAGTTTGTAAGAGTACTGTGTCTTATAAAAACCTATGGTAAATCGAATCAATATTCCTATAGACTCACATTATAAAAGCCAAGATACTTTTCTTCAATGAAAAAAGTTTCCCCCCAATTATGTAGTCTCCAAAAAGTATCGATAGATTTTCTAGCGGTAAAATTTGAAACGCTGGGTGAAAGACTTTGATGTGATCTCCAGTGCATCAGCATAAATTGGTACAGGTACATCCGGTCACTATATGAGCAACAGCCATAGACGGCGGGTAGCGAGAGAGGGAGTCATCCTCGCGTGACATACAACCGTACAGTATATGCTTTACTATAACAAGAAATCCATTAAGCTATATTAATGTATGTATCGTGCTGGGTAGAAGCAAGGCATATGTAAAGAAGCCCCTGACTGAGGATTACAATAACATGGAAATATACTTTAAATGGAAGAGTTTCGGATCACAACCGAGACGGACCTCGAGGCGAACATTTCACCGTGTCGTAGTGACGGTTTCATTCGTACCGAGTTGCAGAATATAGTCGTCGACGACACGTATGATTTATGAGAGGTGATCAAGGAAATAGTAGTTGATATTAGAGTGAACAGCTACAGCGATATACAGTATATCGGTCTAATTGGGATCTGCCAAATATTATTGATTCGTAAATAGTGTCGGTTTAACGTCACAATAAGAATTTAAATCGGCGCGTCGCCGGTCGTTTCGTGGCGGCTGAACCATCGCGATACCGCGGGTTCGCTCGCCCCGTTGCGTCTTTCCGATAATTCCTCGGTTCGTTTGACGTAAGATCCCATTAATGACCGGCACGGCGTCGGCGTCCATTTACGACACGCAATCTCAATTCGCTTGACGTGCGATCGGAAGCCTCGGAGGATTCGCATCTCTCAAAAACATACGTGTGCTCATTCGTGCTCAGAGGTGTAGACGTAGAGTTAGCAACAGTTCTGAAACGGGTCGTGTAACATTGGCCGAATAGCCTTGAAGCACGTCGACCCCGTGGCTAAAGATATTATTTTGGGGTGACCGTACTCGTCGATTATAAGCCAATACCGTATAGGAGCTCTTCGACCGACAGACGAGTCGAGCTCCCGAGGCTCGTTCGCGAGTCCGACTTAACTCTTGTAGATAATGATATACAGTAGAGCTATACCGTATATACCCAGCACATTACGGTACAGTCGGTCCCCGACTTACGACGGGGTCAGGGAGGGACCGGGTCGCAAGTCGAAAATGGGAAAATAATACTGTACATAGATGGGCGTCTCATTTTCTTCTCGGCACCACGAAACTCTCACTCTTACGCTTGCCGGCCATTTTAAAGGGAATTACAAATTAAAATGTTGTCGGTACACAGCGCAATCACTAATGTCTGCATTCAAAAATACATAATTTGACAAAATTTTGGTACGACCGAGGCGGTCGTATGTCGATTGATTGATTGATACGTTTATTGAGATACAAAAAAACATTAATACATCTCAAAGGGATGAAGTGACATAAGTCATCCTCACCCCAGTCCAGGAATGTCCCTCTCAGGACTCACATAAATCCCTAATATTTCATATAATTAGTTATATTACATAGTTATATTCTAGATGCAAAATTTCTATATTTCTTTAATATTTCATCTATTTCCCATTTCCAAACATCCACTCTATTTGCTTGGGGACATTATTTATATGGGCATTTCTATATACATTAAGCAATGGGCATTCCAGTATATAATGTGGCAGGGTATGGGATCTGGGTGTTCTACAAACTCTACATTCTTTATCCTGTTCACTTCTCTCAGCTCCAAGTTCCCAATAATATTTATATCCTAATCTTAACCTCATATACACTGAATCTTTCCACCTACTCCTATCTTTCCCATATGTAAATTTTGTGTTCATGAGAACATGATGGTAATGTTTTATTGTTTCACTTTTCTCGTATATTTCATTCCTTTTGAAATTATCTTCTATTGATTGTATTTTCTGTAATTTGCTCCTTAATTGCTTCAAGGTTTTAGTACATATTATGTCGATCTCGGCCTTTTCCGAGGCTCTTTTTGCTATTATATCTACTGCTTCATTAAGACCAATCCCCACATGTGAAGGGACCCATACAAATTGAACATTATGGCCATTTTTCCTTATTGTATTTACTAATTTTCTACATGAACCAATAATGTGTCCAAAGACTGGACTCCCACTGTTCAAAGAATCCAAAGCTGCCCTACTATCAACAAAAAAATATGCATCTTTATACCTCTTTACAACATTTTCCAATCCTACTAACATTGCATATAACTCAGCTTGTGTTGATGAAATAAAACTTCTCAACCAAAGTCCAATTTTGATGTCATCATTTCCTTGTTCTGTGTACTGTCTTATAAGGATCCCGCACCCTGCCCTGCCACTTGACATAACTGAACCGTCACAAAAACATGCAATGTGTTTATTTTAGGCAAATTACTAATCTTATTCCCATATAAAGCCCTTAACTGTCCTGGTTCATGTAATGATTTCTTCATTGTGAGAGGCACTATGTCTAACTCTACTTCTCGTTCTTCCCTGGGTGGATTCTTACAACTCTTCTGAACAGCTGTACACCAGTCTGCCAAATTACATTTTTTAATAATATTTACTAATCCATTCATGTATCCTCTCTTGCCTTGCCTGCAGAAGGTCCTTTTATCTTTTAAACCATCATTTATATCTTGTACAAATTTACTCCCACTTTTCCCTCTCATTAATCGAACTGCTGCAACTGTATTAATTTCATTGACCCTCTGTGAAATGCTCTGTAACCCTAGTTCCATTTTCATTATCTCAATCATTGCATTCTTTTGACACCCTAAAATAATTCTCATTGCTTCATTTTGCATGATCTCAAGCTTCCGTAGCCTTCCTTCACCAGTACAAGAGAGGACAGGTGCTGCATAGTCTATAAGTGATCTGATGGTAGAAATACACATCATTCTCAGTATGGGTACCCCAGCACCTTTACCACAACATGCTAGAGCCTTCAAGGGCTGTAATCTTGCTCTACATTGAGTGAGGACATGATATATTTCTGCCTCTTTACTTTCACTAGTAAAGCCAATATACATTCCTAAATATTTATACTTTGACACTTCTCAACAATTTTTCCATTTAGAAAAACGGATTCAGTTCCTCTTCCTTTACATTCACACTTGGTTTTTTCTTCATTGATAACTAAGCCCATCTTTTGAGAAAGAACACTAAAATCATTTAATGCAATCTGCAAATTTTTTACAGAGTTTCCTTGAAATAAGATGTCATCTGCATAAATGATGGTTACAACTCCTTTGGGATATTTGTGTGAGGCTATCTTGTTCATTAACACATTAAATAACATTGGACTCAATACTCCCCCTTGGGGAGTGCCTAGTTCAAGTGCTCTTTCCTCAGACAAACATCCCTGATACCATACACAGATTCTCCTTCCATGCAAGTAGTCACCTATCCAGTGTAACAACTTTCCTGATACCCCTAGAGCAGCCAGTTCATTCATAACTACTTCACTGTGAGCTTTATCAAATGCTCCTTGTAAATCCACAAAAACTCTACATCTGTCTGCATCATTTGATAAACATTTTATAACACAGTCTGAAGTACATTTCCCTTCCAAAAAACCAAATAAATTACAAGATAGATTTTCCCCCACAATATATACAAGCCTATTTAATAATACTCTCTCCATCATCTTGGAAAAACAAGATGTTAAAGACACTGGCCTGTATCCACCAGTTGCCTTAGGGAAAGGAATAACTATCGCTTTCTTCCATTCTGTTGGTAATCTACCCTCTGCATAGCTCATGTTGAATAAATCTAATAATGGACTATTTTCCATACCAACTAAGCAGTTCCAAATTTCATATGTCACACCATCTTCGCCTGGTGCTGTAGATTTTCCTTTTTTAACAGCATTTAATAACTCATCTTGAGTAATATCTACACATGTTACATCACAAATATTTAGAGCTGATGAAATAAATCTTTTTCTTTCATTTTGCCACTCATCTAATGCTTCTATTGTCCTGTTAGGCAGGGAGGCAACACTAGCAGCTTTAGACCATTTGTCAACCAGTTTATTAGCTTCTTCCTCTGGATGAGGATAGCTAATAAAATTACTCCTTTTTCCTCTAATTTTGTTAATATCCTGCCATATTTCTTTGAGATTTTTACTCTCCCTAATGTGCTGTGCAAAATCTTGCCAATATTTCTCCCTTGCCTCCTTCCTAGCCTGCCCACATATTTTGGCTATATCCATGAAGATTTCCCTATCTTCTTCTCTTCTACCATTCTTTACCCAATCTTTATGTGCTGCCCTTAACATTTGTGTCCATCCCTTCAACATTTTGTCATTGGTATAGCAGTGTTTCCTAGCCCCATGTCTCTTATCATTTATTTTTTTCTGTGTTGACTTAGTTAAATATCTTTCTATCTCCCCAACTAAGTCATTATAAAAGCTATCCATACAGACTGGTGTATAATTTCTGTACCATTTCTCTATATTTTGGGTAAACACTTCTGTGTCATCCTTGTTTAGTTTCAATTTCTTCCTCCTATATCTCACCTGTCTCTTCCCTAATGGTAATTGAACATACACAACAAAATGGTCACTGACTAGCTCCCTTATTATCTCACATTCTCCCTGGACTCCCTGACTGCTTATCATGCAAGCATAGTTTAACCTTCCTCCTTTAATATGAGTCACTTCCTTATTTCCTAACAAGTAAGCATCTGGGTGATCTTGTAAAAATTGCCAAAATTTTATACCATTACTATTAATTCTCCCCATTGTTTCGAGTCTTGGATGTCGAGCATTAAAATCTCTTACAGCCAAAGTTGAGTCCAAAAACATGCAATCTGGTAAGAAGTTGAGGTCAAAACAGCCTCCAGAAATATACAAATTTGCTATGTTCAATTCTCCTTCCTTCAAATATAACTTTATACAGACACTTTCTATTCCTTGTACTCTACTCGGGCTTCCAACTAGTTCTGCTGGTATGGAATTCTTAATGTATGTTGAGACCCCTCTTATACCTTCACCCGAATAGAGATGAAATCCCTTATATCCAGACAGTTTAAGCAGGTCGCCTTTCCTGTCCCCAGTCTCTTGAAGGGTAATTATATCAATATTATTTTTAAGGGTAAAGTAATGTACATCTGTCACTCTATTTCGTAGACCATTAACATTCCAGGACATTATCTTAAGGCTAGCTAGATCCAGGATTAATATTTACACATTTTATATCCTTTCCAATCAGATTCTTTAAGAAGGCCCAATCCTCCTGCACAGATTCCCATTTCCTCAAAAGTTTTTCTTTATCAGCATCTTTACACTTTACCAACACCTTTTTAAAACTTTCAGTTGTTGCTCCCTGCACTACACAATCCTTTATTTTCCTCTCCTTCCCTTTAATACTTATTTTAAGCACTGAATTTTTCAAAAGCTTGAGCTCTTCACTTTCCTCTTTCCCTTTTAATTCTACATTATTCACAGCTTTGTTTTCCCTTTCTTTATTTATCACTGTATCAAGTCTTTTCTCTATCACTTCTATTTTCTGACCTAACTTTTGCAAAAGCTGAAACATCTTAAGCACCTCTTCTCCCAGAATTTCTTGCACAGTTTTATCACTAACCTGGAGGGCTGCACCACTACTCTCACTTGCTACTTGTTTATTACTCTGTTTGTTTCTGGCATCAACAACGCTTCCGGCCGCAAGCGCAGTCCTTATCCTTCTTGAATCTTCATGCCAGGCATTCTCAGGAATCACTGTCTGTGTGTTCTCCTGCTGTCTTGTCACTGTCAGACCACAGCGTACTTCCTCAGTGTTCTCTGAATAATTCCTTTGTTGGTCACTTCTCATACGTGGCCTCATCTCGCATGCAATTGAACTAGCATTGTGAGTTTTACCACACTTACAACAACAAGGCTTCACTTTCTCTCCTGCTTTGATCTTGTCCTTACAGTTGCTAGATTCGTGCCTCTTCCCACAGAATCTACAATGTGGGTCCAGTTGACAGCTCCAGGCCTTATGTCCCCATCTGCAACACTTGAGACACATTATTGGTCCCTCCACATATAGTGCCACCTTCCTATACCCTGCTCCTGTGATGAACACTTTCTCTGGAACCTTTCCTCTCATTAGAGCAATAACCTGGCTTCTCTCTTCGCCCCTTATTAAATGCCTCTTGACCCAAACAAATCTTTCGTCATCCAATAAGTATTCTGGATCTAGTATTACAGGGTACCTGAAGATTATAACCTTTGTAAGTAGTATGTCGCTCTCCTCTGGCAAAACCATCAGTAATCCCTTGTACCCAACAGTTGTCAACATTTCCACAGCCTCCATGGTCCCCACTGTAAGATAAGGCTTGTGTGTGCCTTCTTTCAAAAGAGGCTCAAAGCTGCGATGCTCCCGTCCTAGTTGTACTGCCCATTTTAATTTTTCAAGGAAGGTCATCGGGCATGACTGTGGAAAAATTAATCTCTTCCTGACACGACCAACTTCACCTTGTGTGTGTTCTTGTCTGCTTCCTTCAAATTCCATACTTTGCTCTGTTCTTGATCCATTCTCCACTATCTCCTTTCTGTTATTTCCATTATTATTACCACCCACACACGTTTTTTGTCCTAGATGTTTTTGTCTCTTCTCCTCTCTCACTTCTTTGCTTTCACTGTCCTCGTGCCAGCTTGTCTCCCTCATTCTTTTAGAATTTTCTTTGTTATTCACTACCTCTTGTTGTAGCTGTATTTTCTCACTTTCGAACTTCCCTTGTGCTTCATCACTCGTATTAGACTCATCACTACTCAACTCAAGGTCTTCAAGAACTTCGTCCAATACTATCTTTTCTTTACTCTTCCATGTAGAGTTCTTAAGCGAAAATTCACTTTCCGTGGGGCAATGTTGACATCCCACAACACCCAGCCAGGAGTGATGGGACCCCGAGCAGTTATTTTCGTAAGGTAAACAGTAAGTTCCCAACACCAAAGTTGCTTGACGATACTTATCTTATCCTCAGGTCCTTATACACAAGTAGGTAAGTCTATATATCCTTCAGATAATGTAATAGGCTCGAAAACATTCCAAATTTGGGAGCTAGCGCTCACAGCTGTGTTTACCAGACCAAAAAAATGGCCGCTCCGTCGTATGTCGAGTAGGTCGTAAGTCGAGGAGTAGCTGTATTTAACTAATGATAACAGAAAAAGTTATTTCTTTAATGTTTTGTTTTTGTGTTTTAATGTTTTGTCTGTGAGTCGGTTCTCGTCTTCAACGTTTAGGTCACGAAGGAGGCTTAAATATATCTAGAAAAAAAGTTTTTGCTCCTGTGTAAATATCATAATAAATTTGCACTGTCCTCTGATTGGTCACAGCAGAGAGATTTAAATAATAAATCCCGCAAAATTGTGCCTCTCTCCCGGCAGCACGATAAGAATCCGTCGAGATCGTCGCAGTTTCGTTCTACGTCGGTCGCGTCCACGAAATGTAAACACTATTGGACGCGTACGAAACCGGGTATGCCGATTCGGTTTTTGTTGGTCCATCGCAAGAAGTTAGGTAGTTTAGATTAGGTTAGGTAGGGTTTTCAATGTTGTTTTTTTAACCCTTCATGTTGAAAGTCTAACTCACTTTGGAAGATTCATTGTTTTTGTTAGTGTAAGGAAATTAAGATCATTTATTTATTTATTAGAAAAAATCCAAATAAAAACTGGTAAAATTATCGTTTTGGCCGTACAGCTATTTTCCGAAGGTCATAAAAGTTGAAAATACATCAAAAAGCATTGGAACAAGATTATTTCAACCTAACCTAACCTATTTGAGTAATCAGTTTCTCCACGTGGTACTAAACAAACAAGTGCCTTTATTATAAGTGTACGAAGATGTTATTTGACCACGATTCTGGGCCAAAAAACCGTCGGCCATTTGACCGGGACCTGCGGGGATCGTATAGGATTGTAGTCGGGATGGTTGGGGGCATTAAACAAGTCATTACATTATGGTATTATTTAATTGTATAATTTCTGTTGACAAAAGGATTTAGTTTTATTTTAGATCTCTGTCAAATAACCGGCAGTTATTGTGCCGAGTACCGGTCAAATAATCCCTGCCTATAATATAATAGTTTTACACTGTTGTGTATTATATAGGTATTGGTCACATTTCCAGGAAGCTTTAAGGACCAACAACACATCTCGGTACGACAAGTCGAGACTCGACCGTACAGACCCGTCCCGTCTCGCACACGACGCCGTTAACGGCAAACGGAGAAACGCCGCTGGGAGGTAATACCGACGTCGTCACTTCACGTCGTGTCATTGGGCGTACGAGCCGAGTGTATTAGAGTACAGGTTGTACCTCTCTAGTCCGGCATTCTGTGATCCGGAACGATTTTAGTTTCTCCAATAGGTAGATAGGCAGCTTTTTTTTTTTTTTTTTAATCTTGATTATTATTATTATTATTACAGGAGTATTAAATTTTTGCCCCTCAGGCCCCAATGTGGGTCAGTGACCTATGCCCGGGTGGGCTAATCCCCGTAAAAAACAACAACAACGACAAAGCCGGGGGAAATTAGGTTTAATATTCACCGCTAAGAAGGGCGGGCGGGTCGTGTTGCGTCTCTGTAACAAAGCGTGTTCGGCATTCGGGCCTTCGATGTAGAGCGGCAGAAATTGGACAGTGATTACATAAGTTCGTCAAGATCGTCTTAGTGAGGTGAAAGTGTAAATCGATGTCGGACTTTTCATGCTAGACACGATTGTATTTTTGAAAACTCAATTTCCACCGAGTTGGAGGTACAGCCAGGGTCACAGGCCTATAACCACACAATCACTGCCACATGACAAAGCTTTTATTTTATTTTATTTTTTAGTGTGTTGTGGTCACGGCTGTGATAAAGGCCAACCAGGGAGTGTAGTACTGTGCCTTCAGTTAAATCAGTTCATAGTTGTCATCAGTGAATGCAAAAGAGACTATAATAACTTAAAGTGAATACATATTGGCAATCGAGCTGGTAAGGACAACTGCCAGCCTATTCGTGTCATAGATGCCACAGAGAATTTAAATTTATTTTGTTTGTGTGCTTGCTCAAGGACTGAATCTGTGTTTATAATACACCACTCACAGGGAGATACAGTGTACACAGTGATAGTTCATAGTGTCATCAGTGACCGCTGAAGTTGTAAATACATCCGGCAGCTCTCTCTCTGTGCTTGTCTATGCAGAGCACAACATTTAACCCTTCAATATATATTCTAGCAGTAAATAAGTGTTGCTTTCATATTCTTAAGTAGAGTAACGACGACATGTTTTCACGTGTGCGCACTTACATACGCGCAGTTTCACTTTTTTTTACCATTGATGGTTAGCTACTTATATTGTTCCATTTATTAACATTAAATAACATTACTTCAAACAAGCATATTAATTTTTTTACATTAATTTTACTACAGCTACAATCAGGGTCTTATTTTCTTCAGTTTTATATGTAGAACCAATCTGTCACCGGTTTTGTAAGCTTTAACAAAAACAATGCCGGCAGCCGTCTCGTCTCGTCGCGCGTTTTAATATTACACGTATTAGTAATAAATTGTATTGTTAATTTTGCACACACAAACATTAATTCAATAAAAACAAATTCAGAAACATTAATTAAAATATATATGAACAGTAAATAAGTGTTGCTTTCACATTCTTACGTAAAGTAATGACGATACGTTTTCACGCGTGCGCACTCGCATACGCGATCTCTGTTTTTCTTTACCATTATCGTTAGCTACTTCTATTGTTCCATTTATTAACATTACTTAAAAGAACCATATTAATTTTTCTACAGCTACAACCAGGGTCTTATTTTCTTCAGTTTTATACGTAGAACCAGTCAGTCACCGGTTTTGTAATCGACGAAAACGGTGCCGTCTCATTTCCTCGCGTTTTAATATTGAGCGTATTATTAATGAATTGTATTGCTCATTTTGCACACACTAACATTAATTCAATCCAAAAGACTTTCAGTAATAAATAATAATGAATCTTTCGTACATAAGAGAAATAACGCCGTTTTCACGATCTTGCACGTCGTCCTAACGTCGGCGGGCCATTCAAACCCGTCGAAATTTGAGTTTCCGCCGTCAAAAGTTTTAAATGTGTCGGTTTTTTTTGTGCGTTCAAATAGAAAACGTCGAATTAAAAACTCGCGAAATTTGAGAAGGTACTGTACGACATTTAACCCTTCAATATGTCTTCAAAGAGACCACGAAGCAGAGAAAGTGGTGCTAGTGCTTCCAAGTGTAAACAGAAGTCACTATCTGTCCAGGAAGAGGGCGAATTTCCACGGTCGGGAAATTTCCGGCGTCCGACACCGGTCGGGTCCCGTGGTTGCCGGACCGGAGAGGTACAACCTGTACTTGTATTTCAGTACACTTGTACAGTAATCCTATAAAAGTGGGCATTTATGTAAATGTTTGTGCGTAAAGTCGCGTCCCATTGGCGTCGGCGGTACGCGACACTTCCAAAATATGGCCCAGATTCACGTTTTCCATCCCATACCCAATTTTGAATGTGTGTTTATTTCGTGTTTCTTTAAAGTACAGTACAGTATATTAATAACTTTAAGTTTCGTTTTCAAAACATAATGTCATTGTTTATTAATTATGATACTCTATATATGCTGTGGTACTCTAAATACTTTTTTCTACTTATATGAATCAGTTGAGTTGAGTAAACTTTTATTTGCATAGTTTTGAAGAAGACTACAGGACATAGTTTAAATTTTTACATATCAACAGTGCAGTACTTTATCTTAAGTAATATTTTCAGGCACTTTCTCCAACACTGCCTACAGTGGACCTGATGTGAACTAGAATGAAGTTGGCTGGACATGAAATTTACTGGACCTCAAGTAGTCTGTGGTATTGTATTTAATATTGTTGTGGTACTTTGAATGTTAGGAAAGTTCTACAGGCATTCCCCAGTTTGTAAGAGTACTGTGTCTTATAAAAACCTATGGTAAATCGAATCAATATTCCTATAGACTCGCATTATAAAAGCCAAGATACTTTTCTTCAATGAAAAAAGCTCCCCCCCCCCAATTATGTAGTCTCCAAAAAGTATTGATAGATTTTCTAGCGGTAAAATTTGAAACGCTGGGTGAAAGACTTTGATTTGATCTCCAGTGCATCAGCATAAATTGGTACAGGTACATCCGGTCACTATATGAGCAACAGCCATAGACGGCGGGTAGCGAGAGAGGGAGTCATCCTCGCGTGACATACAACCGTACAGTATATGCTTTACTATAACAAGAACTCCATTAAGCTATATTAATGTATGTATCGTGCTGGGTAGAAGCAAGGCATATGTAAAGAAGCCCCTGACTGAGGATTACAATAACATGGAAATATACTTTAAATGGAAGAGTTTCGGATCACAACCGAGACGGACCTCGAGGCGAACATTTCACCGTGTCGTAGTGACGGTTTCATTCGTACCGAGTTGCAGAATATAGTCGTCGACGACACGTATGATTTATGAGAGGTGACCAAGGAAATAGTAGTTGATATTAGAGTGAACAGCTACAGCAATATACAGTATATCGGTCTAATTGGGATCTGCCAAATATTATTGATTCGTAAATAGTGTCGGTTTAACGTCACAATAAGAATTTAAATTGGGGCGTCGCCGGTCGTTTCGTGGCGGCTGACCCATCGCGATACAGCGGGTTCGCTCGCCCCGTTGCGTCTTTCCGATAATTCCTCGGTTCGTTTGACGTAAGATCCCATTAATGACCGGCACGGCGTCGGCGTCCATTTACGACACGCAATCTCAATTCGCTTGACGTGCGATCGGAAGCCTCGGAGGATTCGCATCTCTCAAAAACATACGTATGCTCAGAGGTGTAGACGTAGAGTTAGCAACAGTTCTGAAACGGGTCGTGTAACATTGGTCGAATCACGTCGACCCCGTGGCTAAAGATATTATTTTTGGGTGACCGTACACGTCGATTATAAGCCAATACAGGAGCTTCTCGACAGACGGACGAGTCGAGTTCCCGAGGCTCGTTCGCGAGTCCGACTTAACTCTTGTAGATAATGATATACAGTAGAGCTATACCGTATATACCCAGCACATTACGGTACAGTCGGTCCCCGACTGACGACGGGGTTAGGGACCGGGTCGCAAGTCGAAAATAATACCGTACATAGAAAATCTAAAACGGGTGTCAATTCTTCTTCTCGGCACCACGAGAACTCTCACTCTTACGCTTGCCAGCCATTTTAAAGGGAATTACAAACAAAAATTTTGTCGGTACACAGTGCAATCACTCACGTCAGGACTCGAAAATAGGTAATTTGACAAAATTTTGGTACGACCGAGGCGGTCGTACGTCGAGTAGGTCGTAAGTCGAGGAGTAGCTGTATTTAACTAGTGATAACAGAAAAAGTTATTTCTTTAATGTTTTGTTTTTGTGTTTTAATGTTTTGTCTGTGAGTCGGTTCTCGTCTTCAACGTTTAGGTCACGAAGGAGGCTTAAATATATCTAGAAAAAAAAGTTTAAGCTCCTGCGTAAATATCACAATAGATTTGCACTGTCCTCTGTTTGGTCACAGCAGATTATGTGAAATTCGAGCGAGAGAGATTTAAATAATAAATCCCGCAAAATTGTGCGTTTCTCCCGGAAGCACGAAAAGAATCCGTCAATAACGTCGCAGTTTCGTTCTATGTCGGTCACGTCCACGAAATGTAGACGCTATTGGACTGTACGAAACCGGGTATGCCGATTAAATTTTTGCTCGTCCATCGCAAGAAGTTAGGTAGTTTAGATTAGATTAGGTTAGGTAGGGTTTTCAATGTTTTTTTTTAACCCTTCATGTTGAAAGTAACTTTTTTTGGAAGATTCATTGTTTTTGTTAGTGTAAGGAAATTAAGATCATATAAATTTATTAGAAAAAATCCAAATAAATACTGGTAAAATTATCGTTTTGGCCGTGCATCTATTTTCCAAAAGTCATAATCGTTCAAAATATCCATAAAAACCGTTGGAAAAAGATAATTTCAACTTTACGTAACCTATTTGAGTAATCGGTTTCTCCATGTGGTGTTAAACTATTGAGTAATGTTTATTTTTAATACAAAGTTGTTATTTGACCCGGATTCTGGGCCAAATGACCGTCGGCTATTTGACCGGGACCTGCGGGGATCGTGTGGGATTGTAGTCGGGATGGTTGGGGGCATTAAACAAGTCATTCCATTATGGTATTATTTAATTGTATAATTTCTGTTGACAAAAGGATTTAGTTTTATTTTAGATCTTTGTCAAATAACCGGCGGTTATTGTGCCGAGTACTGGTCAAATAATCCCTGCCTATAATATAATAGTTTTACAGTGTTGTGTATTATATAGGTATCTGTTACATTTCCAGGAAGCTTTAAGGACCAACAACACATCTCGGTACGACAAGTGGAGACTCGACCGTACAGACCCGTCCGGTCTCGCACACGACGCCGTTAACGGCAAACGGAGAAACGCCGCCGCCGCCGACCCGCGGGAGGTAAGACCGACGTCGTCACTTCGCGTCGGGCGTACGAGCCGAGCGTATTAGAGGACTTGTATTTAAGTGCACTTGTACAGTAATCCTATAAAAGTGGACATTTATGTAAATGATTGTGTCTAAAGTCACTTCCCATTGGTGTCGGTGGTACGGGACCTCTCAAAATTGTGGCCCAGATTCACGTTTTTCATCCCAAACCAAATTTTGAATGTGTGTTTATTTCGTTATTCTTTAAAGTACAGTGCAGTATATTAATAACTTTTAGCTTCGTTTTCAAAACATAATGTCATTGTTTATTAATTATGATTCTTTACAAATGCTGTACTACTTTTTCTGCCTGTATGTTTCAATTCAGTTTATGAAACTTTTATTTGCATAGTTTTGAAGAAGACTACAGTACTTAGTACATAGTTTAAATGTTTGCATATCAACAGTGCAGTACTTTATCTTAAGTAATATTTTCAGGTACTTTCTCCATCACTGCCTAAAGTGGACCTGATGTGAACTAGAATGAAGTTGGCTGGACCTGCAGTGAAGTGGACCTGAAGCTAACTGGACCTCAAGTAGTCTGTGGTATTGTATTTAATATTGTTGTGGTACTTTGAATGTTAGGAAAGTTGTACAGGCATTCCCCAGTTTGAAAGAGTACTGTGTCTTATAAAAACCTATGGTAAATCGAATCAATATTCCTATAGACTCACATTATAAAAGCCAAGATACTTTTCTTCAATGAAAAAGGTTCCCCCCCAATTATGTAGTCTCCAAAAAGTATTGATAGATTTTCTAGCGGTAAAATTTGAAACGCTGGGTGAAAGACTTTGATGTGATCTCCAGTGCATCAGCATAAATTGGTACAGGTACATCCGGTCACTATATGAGCAACAGCCATAGACGGCGGGTAGCGAGAGAGGGAGTCATCCTCGCGTGACATACAACCGTACAGTATATGCTTTACTATAACAAGAAATCCATTAAGCTATATTAATGTATGTATCGTGCTGGGTAGAAGCAAGGCATATGTAAAGAAGCCCCTGACTGAGGATTACAATAACATGGAAATATACTTTAAATGGAAGAGTTTCGGATCACAACCGAGACGGACCTCGAGGCGAACATTTCACCGTGTCGTAGTGACGGTTTCATTCGTACCGAGCTGCAGAATATAGTCGTCGACGACACGTATGATTTATGAGAGGTGACCAAGGAAATAGTAGTTGATATTAGAGTGAACAGCTACAGCAATATACAGTATATTGGTCTAATTGGGATCTGCCAAATATTATTGATTCGTAAATAGTGTCGGTTTAACGTCACAATAAGAATTTAAATCGGCGCGTCGCCGGTCTTTTCGTGGCGGCTGATCCATCGCGATACCGCGGGTTCGCTCGCCCCGTTGCGTCTTTCCGATAATTCCTCGGTTCGTTTGACGTGAGATCCCATTAATGACCGGCACGGCGTCGGCGTCCATTTACGACACGCAATCTCAATTCGCTTGACGTGCGATCGGAAGCCTCGGAGGATTCGCATCTCTCAAAAACATACGTATGCTCATTCGTGCTCAGAGGTGTAGACGTAGAGTTAGCAACAGTTCTGAAACGGGTCGTGTAACATTGGTCGAATAGCCTCGAAGCACGTCGACCCCGTGGCTAAAGATATTATTTTGGGGTGACCGTACTCGTCGATTATAAGCCAATACCGTATAGGAGCTCTTCGACCGACAGACGAGTCGAGCTCCCGAGGCTCGTTCGCGAGTCCGACTTAACTCTTGTAGATAATGATATACAGTAGAGCTATACCGTATATACCCAGCACATTACGGTACAGTCGGTCCCCGACTTACGACGGGGTCAGGGACCGGCGACCGGGTCGCAAGTCGAAAATGGGAAAATAATACTGTACATAGATGGGCGTCTCATTTTCTTCTCGGCACCACGAAACTCTCAATCTTACGCTTGCCGGCCATTTTAAAGGGAATTACAAATGAAAATGTTGTCGGTACACAGCGCAATCACTAATGTCTGCATTCAAAAATACATAATTTGACAACATTAAGACCAATCCCCACATGTGAAGGGACCCATACAAATTGAACATTATGGCCATTTTTCCGTATTGTATTTACTAATTTTCTACATGAACCAATAATGTGTCCAAAGACTGGACTCCCACTGTTCAAAGAATCCAAAGCTGCCCTACTATCAACAACAAAATATGCATCTTTATACCTCTTTACAACATTTTCCAATCCTACTAACATTGCATATAACTCAGCTTGTGTTGATGAAATAAAACTTCTCAACCAAAGTCCAATTTTGATGTCATCATTTCCTTGTTCTGTGTGCTGTCTTATAAGGATCCCGCACCCTGCCCTGCCACTTGACATAACTGAACCGTCACAAAAAACATGCAATGTGTTTATTTTAGGCAAATTACTAATCTTATTCCCATATAAAGCCCTTATAACTGTCCTGGTTCATGTAATGATTTCTTCATTGTGAGAGGCACTATGTCTAACTCTACTTCTCGTTCTTCCCAGGGTGGATTCTTACAACTCTTCTGAACAGCTGTACACCAGTCTGCCAGATTACATTTTTTAATAATATTTATTAATCCATTCATGTATCCTCTCTTGCCTTGCCTGCAGAAGGTCCTTTTATCTTTTAAACCATCATTTATATCTTGTACAAATTTACCCCCACTGTTCCCTCTCATTAATCGAACTGCTGCAACTGTATTAATTTCATTGACCCTCTGTGAAATGCTCTGTAACCCTAGTTCCATTTTCATTATCTCAATCATTGCATTCTTTTGACACCCTAAAATAATTCTCATTGCTTCATTTTGCATGATCTCAAGCTTCCGTAGCCTTCCTTCACCAATACAAGAGAGGACAGGTGCTGCATAGTCTATAAGTGATCTGATGGTAGAAATACACATCATTCTCAGTATGGGTACCCCAGCACCTTTACCACAACATGCTAGAGCCTTCAAGGGCTGTAATCTTGCTCTACATTGAGTGAGGACATGATATATTTCTGCCTCTTTACTTTCACTAGTAAAGCCAATATACATTCCTAAATATTTATACTTTGACACTTTCTCAACAATTTTTCCATTTAGAAAAACGGATTCAGTTCCTCTTCCTTTACATTCACACTTGGTTTTTTCTTCATTCATAACTAAGCCCATCTTTTGAGAAAGAACACTAAAATCATTTAATGCAATCTGCAAATTTTTTACAGAGTTTCCTTGAAATAAGATGTCATCTGCATAAATGATGGTTACAACTCCTTTGGGATATTTGTGTGAGGCTATCTTGTTCATTAACACATTAAATAACATTGGACTCAATACTCCCCCTTGGGGAGTGCCTAGTTCAAGTGCTCTTTCCTCAGACAAACATCCCTGATACCATACACAGATTCTCCTTCCATGCAAGTAGTCACCTATCCAGTGTAACAACTTTCCTGATACCCCTAGAGCAGCCAGTTCACTCATAACTACTTCACTGTGAGCTTTATCAAATGCTCCTTGTAAATCCACAAAAACTCTACATCTGTCTGCATCATTTGATAAACATTTTATAACACAGTCTGAAGTACATTTCCCTTCCAAAAAACCAAATAAATTACAAGATAGATTTTCCCCCACAATATATACAAGCCTATTTAATAATACTCTCTCCATCATCTTGGAAAAACAAGATGTTAAAGACACTGGCCTGTATCCACCAGTTGCCTTAGGGAAAGGAATAACTATCGCTTTCTTCCATTCTGTTGGTAATCTACCCTCTGCATAGCTCATGTTGAATAAATCTAATAATGGACTATTTTCCATACCAACTAAGCAGTTCAAAATTTCATATGTCACACCATCTTCGCCTGGTGCTGTAGATTTTCCTTTTTTAACAGCATCTTGAGTAATATCTACACATGTTACATCACAAATATTTAGAGCTGATGAAATAAATCTTTTTCTTTCATTTTGCCACTCATCTAATGCTTCTATTGTCCTGTTAGGCAGGGAGGCAACACTAGCAGCTTTAGCCCATTTGTCAACCAGTTTATTAGCTTCTTCCTCTGGATGAGGATGGCTAATAAAATTACTCCTTTTTCCTCTAATTTTGTTAATATCCTGCCATATTTCTTTGAGATTTTTACTCTCCCCAATGTGCTGTGCAAAATCTTGCCAATATTTCTCCCTTGCCTCCTTCCTAGCCTGCCCACATATTTTGGCTATATCCATGAAGATTTCCCTATCTTCTTCTCTTCTACCATTCTTTACCCAATCTTTATGTGCTGCCCTTAACATTTGTGTCCATCCCTTCAACATTTTGTCATTGGTATAGCAGTGTTTCCTAGCCCCATGTCTCTTATCATTTATTTTTTTCTGTGTTGACTTAGTCAAATATATTTCTATCTCCCCAACTAAGTCATTATAAAAGCTATCCATACAGACTGGTGTATAATTTCTGTACCATTTCTCTATATTTTGGGTAAACACTTCTGTGTCATCCTTGTTTAGTTTCAATTTCTTCCTCCTATATCTCACCTGTCTCTTCCCTAATGGTAATTGAACATACACAACAAAATGGTCACTGACTAGCTCCCTTATTATCTCACATTCTCCCTGGACTCCCTGACTGCTTATCATGCAAGCATAGTCTAACCTTCCTCCTTTAATATGAGTCACTTCCTTATTTCCTAACAAGTAAGAATCTGGGTGATCTTGTAAAAATTGCCAAAATTTTATACCATTTCTATTAATTCTCCCCATTGTTTCGAGTCTTGGATGTCGAGCATTAAAATCTCTTACAGCCAAAGTTGAGTCCAAAAACATGCAATCTGGTAAGAAGTTGAGGTCAAAACAGCATCCAGAAATATACAAATTTGCTATGTTCAGTTCTCCTTCCTTCAAATATAACTTTATACAGACACTTTCTATTCCTTGTACTCTACTCGGGTTTCCAACTAGTTCTGCTGGTATGGAATTCTTAATGTATGTTGAGACCCCTCTTATACCTTTACTAGATAGTTTAAGCAGGTCGCCTTTCCTGTCCCTGTAACGGGCCGCGTTTTCTCTTTTCAATAATTTACCATCCAGCTACTGTTTTCTGTTAGTATTCTATTTACTCATATACTTATTTGTTCTATGTAGCATTCCTCCAATGAGTACCCTGTTTAATATACTTATTCTCCTTCCATTCTTTACATATATATTTATTCTTATATGTTCTTTACCTCTATATACCTTATATTCTTATATGTTCTTATATAAGTAACTCTTATGCTTCTCCACTTATGTTTTCCAAGTCAAGGTTCTTTCTTTTCATTTCCTTTCATATAGATTGTATTTTCAGTTTCAATGTTCTTACCTTTCTGAAGTATACTTTGTTTTATGTCTTTCTTATACATGGGTTAGTCTGGGGAACCATGTGATTCTTTGTATAACACTTTTTATACTTACAAGGGGTAGCTGCCACCACCCAGACTTTTCATTATATAACAGAACTCATGGAAGGGTTTTGGGTAGTGTGGTAGATGTATAGGCACGTGAGTAAGTATTATTTTCTGGGAACCAATGTTTAGAAGGAGTAGAGTGGTGATACTCAGATTACTAACTCAATATTTATTAATACAGTGAGTGGAGAAGATGCATCTTAGATTCACTCAGGCTAAACAGAACCGAAATTAACTTATTAAGTCATCAAACACTTCAAGAACTTATTACCTCATTAAACACCTCCAAATATTCATTACTTTATTGGATACTGTTGTAGTATTTCTGTGACAAGTAAGATTTAGCAATGCTTACACACTGTCAATAACCCTGGACCCGCAGGTCTTACTTTAACAAGGAACAAATTACCTTCTCAATTCGTGGTTAGAACCTCATACTCTCAGGTTATTCTTTCATGGGTACTACAGATGAATACATAACACATTGGACTAACTCCACAATTATAGTAACATACAATACCTCCTGTTAGTTTGCAAGGAACAACCTGGTACCTTGAACTCTCATTCAGTGGTTCAATACTTAACCTGGGATGACTATATTTCTGCTAGTCATCCCTAAGCATGGATATTAATACGGCTCCATACATATAACCAAGAACAGTGGGTAGACCATGATCATATGACGGAGTCAGTAGGCCAGAGTTGTTTACAGGCTCGCTCGCTAGCTCGGAGCGCCTGGCCCAGGAAAAGTTGACTGTGGCGGTGGGCCGTGGCGTCTGCCAAGGAATCTCGCCCTGGGATTCTCATCTCGCCACCTTAAAGACGTCTTAAGGCTAGCTAGATCCAGGATTAATATTTACACATTTTATATCCTTTCCAATCAGATTCTTTAAGAAGGCCCAATCCTCCTGCACAGATTCCCATTTCCTCAAAAGTTTTTCTTTATCAGCATCTTTACACTTTACCAACACCTTTTTAAAACTTTCAGTTGTTGCTCCCTGCGCTACACAATCCTTTATTTTCCTCTCCTTCCCTGTAATACTTATTTTAAGCACTGAATTTTTCAAAGGCTTGAGCTCTTCACTTTCCTCTTTCCCTTTTAATTCTACATTATTCACAGCTTTGTTTTCCCTTTCTTTATTTATCACTGTATCAAGTCTTTTCTCTATCACTTCTATTTTCTGACCTAACTTTTGCAAAAGCTGAAACATCTTAAGCACCTCTTCTCCCAGAATTTCTTGCACAGTTTTATCACTAACCTGGAGGGCTGCACCACTACTCTCACTTGCTACTTGTTTATTACTCTCTTTGTTTCTGGCATCAACAACGCTTCCGGCCGCAAGCGCAGTCCTTATCCTTCTTGAATCTTCATGCCAGGCATTCTCAGGAATCACTGTCTGTGTGTTCTCCTGCTGTCTTGTCACTGTCAGACCACAGCGTACTTCCTCGGTGTTCTCTGAATAATTCCTTTGTTGGTCACTTCTCATACGTGGCCTCATCTCGCATGCAATTGAACTAGCATTGAGAGTTTTACCACACTTACAACAACAAGGCTTCACTTTCTCTCCTGCTTTGATCTTGTCCTTACAGTTGCTAGATTCGTGCCTCTTCCCACAGAATCTACAACGTGGGTCCAGTTGACAGCTCCAGGCCTTATGTCCCCATCTGCAACACTTGAGACACATTATTGGTCCCCCCACATATAGTGCCACCTTCCTATACCCTGCTCCTGTGATGAACACTTTCTCTGGAACCTTTCCTCTCATTAGAGCAATAACCTGGCTTCTCTCTTCGCCCCTTATTAAATGCCTCTTGACCCAAACAAATCTTTCGTCATCCAATAAGTATTCTGGGTCTAGTATTACAGGGTACCTGAAGATTATAACCTTTGTAAGTAGTATGTCGCTCTCCTCTGGCAAAACCATCAGTAATCCCTTGTACCCAACAGTTGTCAACATTTCCACAGCCTGTAAGATAAGGCTTGTGTGTGCCTTCTTTCAAAAGAGGCTCAAAGCTGCGATGCTCCCGTCCTAGTTGTACTGCCCATTTTAATTTTTCAAGGAAGGTCATCGGGCATGACTGGAAAAATTAATCTCTTCCTGACACGACCAACTTCACCTTGTGTGTGTTCTTGTCTGCTTCCTTCAAATTCCATACTTTGCTCTGTTCTTGATCCATTCTCCACTATCTCCTTTCTGTTATTTCCATTATTATTACCACCCACACACGTTTTTTGTCCTAGATGATTTTGTCTCTTCTCCTCTCTCACTTCTTTGCTTTCACTGTCCTCATGCCAGCTTGTCTCCCTCATTGTTTTAGAATTTTCTTTCTTATTCACTACCTCTTGTTGTAGCTGTATTTTCTCACTTTCGAACTTCCCTTGTGCTTCATCACTCGTATTAGACTCATCACTACTCAACTCAAGGTCTTCAAGAACTTCGTCCAATACTATCTTTTCTTTACTCTTCCATGTAGAGTTCTTAAGCGAAAATTCACTTTCCGTGGGGCAATGTTGACATCCCACAACACCCAGCCAGGAGTGATGGGACCCCGAGCAGTTATTTTTGTAAGGTAAACAGTAAGTTCCCAACACTAAAGTTGCTTGACGATACTTATCTTATCCTCGGGTCCTTATACACAAGTAGGTAAGTCTATATATCCTTCAGTTAATGTAATAAGCTCGAAAACATCCCAAATTTGGGAGCTAGCGCTCACAGCTGTGTTTACCGGACCAAAAAAATGGCCGCTCCGTCGTATGTCGAGTAGGTCGTAAGTCGAGGAGTAGCTGTATTTAACTAATGATAACAGAAAAAGTTATTTCTTTAATGTTTTGTTTTTGTGTTTTAATGTTTTGTCTGTGAGTCGGTTCTCGTCTTCAACGTTTAGGTCACGAAGGAGGCTTAAATATATCTAGAAAAAAAGTTTTTGCTCCTGTGTAAATATCATAATAAATTTGCACTGTCCTCTGATTGGTCACAGCAGAGAGATTTAAATAATAAATCCCGCAAAATTGTGCCTCTCTCCCGGCAGCACGATAAGAATCCGTCGAGATCGTCGCAGTTTCGTTCTACGTCGGTCGCGTCCACGAAATGTAAACACTATTGGACGCGTACGAAACCGGGTATGCCGATTCGGTTTTTGTTGGTCCATCGCAAGAAGTTAGGTAGTTTAGATTAGGTTAGGTAGGGTTTTCAATGTTGTTTTTTTAACCCTTCATGTTGAAAGTCTAACTCACTTTGGAAGATTCATTGTTTTTGTTAGTGTAAGGAAATTAAGATCATATTTATTTATTAGAAAAAATCCAAATAAAAACTGGTAAAACTATCGTTTTGGCCGTGCAGCTATTTTCCGAAGGTCATAAAAGTTGAAAATACATCAAAAACCATTGGAACAAGATTATTTCAACCTAACCTAACCTATTTGAGTAATCAGTTTCTCCACGTGGTACTAAACAAACAAGTGCCTTTATTATAAGTGTACGAAGATGTTATTTGACCACGATTCTGGGCCAAATAACCGTCGGCCATTTGACCGGGACCTGCGGGGATCGTATAGGATTGTAGTCGGGATGGTTGGGGGCATTAAACAAGTCATTACATTATGGTATTATTTAATTGTATAATTTCTGTTGACAAAAGGATTTAGTTTTATTTTAGATCTCTGTCAAATAAGCGGCGGTTATTGTGCCGAGTACCGGTCAAATAATCCCTGCCTATAATATAATAGTTTTACAGTGTTGTGTATTATATAGCTATTGGTCACATTTCCAGGAAGCTTCAAGGACCAACAACACACCTCGGTACGACAAGTCGAGACTCGACCGTACAGACCCGTCCGGTCTCGCACACGACGCCGTTAACGGCAAACGGAGAAACGCCGCTGGGAGGTAATACCGACGTCGTCACTTCACGTCGTGTCATTGGGCGTACGAGCCGAGTGTATTAGAGTACAGGTTGTACCTCTCTAGTCCGGCATTCTGTGATCCGGAACGATTTTAGTTTGTCCAATAGGTAGATAGGCAGCTTTTTTTTTTTTTTAATCTTGATTATTATTATTATTATTATTATTATTACAGGAGTATTAAATTTTTGCCCCTCAGGCCCCAATGTGGGTCAGTGACCTATGCCCGGGTGGGCTAATCCCCGTAAAAAAACAACAACGACAAAGCCGGGGGAAATTAAGGTTTGTTTACATCCGGCAGCTCTCTCTCTGTGCTTGTCTATACAGAGCATAACATTTAACCCTTCAATATATATTCTAGCAGTAAATAAGTGTTGCTTTCATATTCTTAAGTAGAGTAACGACGACATGTTTTCACGTGTGCGCACTTACATACGCTCAGTTTCACTTTTTTTTTTACCATTGATGGTTAGCTACTTATATTGTTCCATTTATTAACATTAAATAACATTACTTCAAACAAGCATATTAATTTTTTTACATTAATTTTACTACAGCTACAATCAGGGTCTTATTTTCTTCAGTTTTATATGTAGAACCAATCTGTCACCGGTTTTGTAAGCTTTAACAAAAACAATGCCGGCAGCCGTCTCGTCTCGTCGCGCGTTTTAATATTACACGTATTAGTAATAAATTGTATTGTTAATTTTGCACACACAAACATTAATTCAATAAAAACAAATTCAGAAACATTAATTAAAATATATATGAACAGTAAATAAGTGTTGCTTTCACATTCTTACGTAAAGTAATGACGATACGTTTTCACGCGTGCGCACTCGCATACGCGATCTCTGTTTTTCTTTACCATTATCGTTAGCTACTTCTATTGTTCCATGTATTAACATTACTTAAAAGAACCATATTAATTTTTCTACAGCTACAACCGGGGTCTTATTTTCTTCAGTTTTATACGTAGAACCAGTCGGTCACCGTTTTTGTAATCGACGAAAAGGGTGCCGTCTCATTTCCTCGCGTTTTAATATTGAGCGTATTATTAATGAATTGTATTGCTCATTTTGCACACACTAACATTAATTCAATCCAAAAGACTTTCAGTAATAAATAATAACGAATCTTTCGTACATAAGAGAAATAACGCCGTTTACACGATCGTGCACGTCGTCCGAACGTCGGCGGGCCATTCAAACCCGTCGAAATTTGAGTTTCCGCCGTCAAAAGTTTTAAATGTGTCGGCTT